TCTTTCCCTGATTCGGACCCCATCTTCTTGCCCCCCTCTCCTCTGAGGCACCAGCCTCCCCTTCCTTTCCGGGGCACCTGCGTTGACTCGGCCTTCCCCCCACAGCCTCCAGGACCCCAGCAGCTGGGAGAGGGGAGCGGGCCCCTGCGAAGACCCCAGGCCCAGGCTGTATCTCTAGCTCGGGGCATGCCAGCGGGCCCACCAGGTAAAAAGCCCCCTCTCCCCTGTTGCCTTGGGCAAGGGTTAGTGTCTCTATCTGGAAGCTTTTAATTAAAGTGTGTGGGAGTACTTGCTCATCACTGGGCGCAAATTGGTGAAAGCTCTTATTGGTTGGCAGAGAGGGCATATGTCCTCACCCATGGGGAAATGTAGACTTGGGAGACGAAACAAGGAGCTGGAGCGCTGTCCTGAGCGCAGACCCTTTTGTTCCCCAGGCCAGGCCCTCTTGGGCAGAAGGGGCTCCGGCCCCCAGCTGAGGAACCTGTGGCCAGAGGAAAAGCCCCTGAAGGGCCCAGAAGGAGCGCCCTGAGCGCTGGGGCACGGAGAGGTACGTGATCTGGGGAGGAAGGGGGTTCCTCGGATGTGAGGGGGACCAGCCTAGAAGTATCGGCGACCCTTCGGTCTTCTGCTTTGTCCCCAGACTCTTCTGGGTCCACTCCAGCCGTCTCCTCCTCGGCCATCTCCCGTCGATCCCGGGCTGCGGGCGCTGAGGTGGGTGTCGCCCGGGCAGCTCCGAGTGGCCGGCCCCGGCCCCCGACCGAGGCTTCCAGGAAATCAGTGAGCAGCGCCCCAGAGCGCAGCGCCGCGGAGCCGAGCCCTGCCAGCAGGAGGCGACCCAGCGCCGGCGGGGGCCTCCAGAGGCCAACCTTGCGCCCCCTGAGCTCCAGCGCCACTCCTCTGTCCTCCCCAGCCCGCTCCGGGGCTTCCCCGGCTGGAACACCCCGGGCTCTGGGGCATCCCTCGCAGCCCAAGTCCAGAGGACTGCAGGCTCTACGCCCCCCGCAGGCCACACCCCCAAGGAAGGGCGCAGTCCCTGAACGGGGCTTTTCTCCTCCTTTGGCCACCTCCTCCCTACCCTGTCCTATTGCACCGCCTTCCCATATCACAGCCACTCCCTTGAGGGGCTCGCTCCCACCGTCTCCACCGACCACGCCCCCTCCCCAGGCCCCTATCCACCCGTTGGCCACGCCCCCTCCACTAGCCCCTCCTCCCTCTGCTCCACCCTCTCTGCCGACCCTCCCCTCTCCACCGGCCACACCTCCTTTGCAAGCTCCCCCCGCACATCTGGGTACATCTTTTCCGGAGGTATCCGTCTCTTCTTCGGCCACGGCCACTTTTCTGACTTCAGTCCCTCCATCAGTTTCACCCGCTCTGCAAAGTATGCCCCCCACCGAGGCGTCTTTGGCTTTACCCCCTTTTCCAGCTCTCCCCTCTCCCTTGGCCACACCTCCTTTGTCGGGTCCTCTGCCACCAGCCACTGCCCCTCTACAAGCCCCTCTATCTCAAGCAACATCTCTGAGGAACCCGTCTTCTTCCCTAACCACACCCCCTCTTCAGGCTCCTTCTGCTCTGCCCACGCCCCCTCCGCAGGCCGGTCCTTCTCTGTCTCCACCTCTTCAGGCCACGCCTTATACACTGGCCACGCCTCCCACACAGGACCCTTCTCTGGCCACATCCCCTCCACAGACCTCTCCCCCTTCCTCTCGTCTGACCACACTCTCTCTGCCAGGCGCTCCCCGTCTAGGCTCACCCTCTCCCCTGGCCACGCCTCTGGCCACTCCCCCTCTACAGGCCACTCCTCCTATACAGACACCATCTCTGGCCTCACAGCCTCTGCAGGCCCCTCCTCCACTGGCCATGCCCCCCACACACACTCCACCTTCTCTGGCCACGGCTCCCTTTCAGGCCGCTCCCTCTCCTCAGAGCTTGCCTCCTCTGCAGGCTCCACCTCTGGCCTCGCTCCCTCTGCAGGCGCCTCTCTCTCCCCCTGCTTCACCCCCTCTGCAAGACCCTCCCTCCCCCCTGGCCACGCCCCCTCCGCGGGCTCCACCTTCCCTGGCCTTGCCCGCTTTGCAGACCCCTCCCTCTCCCCCTGCCTCACCCCCTCTGCAAGCCCCACGCCGCCCCCCAACCCCGGGTCCCGATGCCCCAGTCTCGGGCCCACGGCTGACCCTGGCGCTGGCCCCGGGCCCACCGCCGCCACCCTCGCGCAGCCCTTCCAGTACGCTGAGCGGCCCGGACCTGGCGGGCCACAGCAGCAGCGCCACGAGCACGCCCGAAGAGCTGCGCGGCTACGACAGTGGGCCCGAGGGCGGCGCCGCAACCTCCCCGCCCGCCGATGCGGAGCTCGCCGCCTGCCACCCGGCCGCCTGGAGCCGAGGTTCCGCTCCGCCGCTGGCCATCCGCGGCACCTCAGGTAAGCAGCACTCCGGACACTGCGGACCAGTAGGAGGGGCGAGGTCTGGGGACCGTAGGAGGGCGAAGTCGGAGGCGAGGCTTTGCAACTCGGGGGCAGGACAGTTGGGTCTGAGGGCGGAGTTGACGGAAGGGGCGGGGTCTTGTGTCGGGGGCGGGGCTTCCCGCTCCCTTTTCCCAGCCTGGCTCCTCTACCCGCAGGAGCGCCCCTGCCTTGGTCTCCTGCTGCTGGGTCGGGCTCTGCTGACGGCTTGTGCACCATCTACGAGGCTGAAGGGCCCGAGTCCGCGACTCCCG